TCTCGGGTGGAGCCACAGCCAGGCTCTTGTACTGCCCAAGGTGTATCCTTTGAAAGCCTTTTAATAAATCCCTGCTTTATGCCTTTAACACTGTCTAGCCTCTGTTCTAGGTTGTCTCTCAAGGCATCAGGACAGAGCCATGTGAGCTGGGCTGTCACAGTGTTGTTAATTTAGGAAATAGTAAAAGGAAAGTGGATGTTTTCAGTGGATTTATCTGTCAGAAACAAGAGCAAAAGAGAAAACATTGGTTTGGTCATCAAGATGAGGTTAAATCAGTCCGTTTGAGCCAGCAATACGTGGCAGCTTCTTGGAAAATCACGTGTTTGTGGTATGTGAGAAAAACACAAACCCGGAGCTGAGTTGGTGCCGTGTGTACAAGAGATCGCTCTGGGCACGTTCTGCGGTCACCGAGGGCAGGATAGGGAAGGGGACATGGGGACATCAGCTTTAGTGTGAGCATGGATGTCCTGTGGCCAAGGACACCCATCTACCTGGGGAAAAATCAGGCAACATGAAACATTTTGGCGTAGTGACAACCCCTGTCAATCCTGCACTTTGTGTACTTTGTAAATGTATCAGAAAATTGTGCATAGTAACTCTCCAAAGTCTAAGGTTTGGGGCTACTTTTGTTGTATCTCTAGCTCACTGAATGCCTTTTCTTTAGAATTCGTTGGTACTAAATTACATGTAGCATTACTCCAGGAAATCATTAATTTCAAGAAAAGAGCCTTTAAACTGATTATTGTCTGATTGTCAAAAACATGGTGGTTTTTTATCATCTCAGTGTCTCAAATTTAAAATTCACGTCTTGAGTAATCCACAGTAATTATTTGCAACTGTTCCAGACTAAGTAATGCTTGAAGAATCATTTTCATTGACAAATAACCTTGTAGTCATTTCATAAGCATCATCTTTGCTGCATTGTCTAAATGATTAGTAAAAAGACTGATAATACTCATCCTGAATGATACTGAACTGTACCAGAGACATTTTTCCTACAGAGCAGACACTGATTAGAATCTTCGTGGGTACTCACTGATCATACACAAGTTTCATACTGCTCATGTTTCCTTTGCTTATGAGAATTTCTTCAGAGGTAGTGTGTAAAGTCTGTTTCCCCCTCCTACACCCCCATCTCCCTTTGCTGACAGGGTCACAGAGGAAGTCAAGTTACTTCTATTTCAGTCATTCTCAGATTAATCTGTGCAGGTTTTTAACTTACCGCTGACTTGAATTCTCCATGCTTGCAAACAGATTCTTTGGTGGGTGATTTCAGTATTTCCTTCAAGTGCTAAAGCCAGGATTACAGATCTAGTTTTTCCAACTCCTTCCTTTCCACCTTCTTAAGAGAAGTACCACTTTTGCTCTTTTCCAGTCTTCTGAGGAAAATTTCTCTCTCCTCAACAGGTTTTTTGAAGGAATCTCCTGTGGCTTTAGGATTGTGTCAGACAACTCCTAGAAACCAAAAGATAATATAAGAACCTGCAATTAACAGTACTGAAGAAAGTGTGTCTTAGCTGGTCCAGCCTCTGTGTCATTGCTGCTCCATTTGTTCTCAGTTTCTCCTGCTGAGGATTTTCCTCTTTCTTTGAACTCATTAAATATTAATTAGGTTTCCCCATAGCACGAGCTTGTGGTTTAGTGAGCAGCAAAGGTGTCCTGACCTAAGAAATGAACAGCAAGGTTTTACAGTAATAGCTCCACTAGGTTTTTTTGCTGTACAGCAGAATTCATGAATGGTTTCCTCTTTCCAGCTTGGGTCCAAGTTCATCTGGCCCTAGCTGGGATTCACACAAATCTGAGTGAAAGCACAGATTAGAAATATTACACTAAGGGTGTTCTTATCCATGAAAGCTTCACTAGCAAAATCATCATTTGTTTATACCTATTTCCTAGGATATTATTCATGTTAGATATAAATGATTCTCTTCTGGATGTACTGGAGAAGAGTAAGATGGCTCAGAGCAATGATGAGCAGCAGGTCACACTCCTGCCATATATTTCATCTGTGGCTGGGTAATTTCTTACCATTTTTTTCCTAAGTATTTTGATTACAACGGAATAGATTTATATTTATCACTAAAGCAGAAATCTTTCTTTCTGCTCTAAGCTAAACAACACTATGTTGGATCTTATTGTTTGAACTTTTTAAGTAACAATCATCTAATCAGCTTGAAAATAGCATCTACAATCAATGCTGCTATTAAATTGTGGCAAAAATAAAAGTCAATAACTAAAATAGGAATTACTTTACCTGAAGCCCAGCAAGTAGATCAGCAGTATTGCTTCAGTCCAGATTGTTCTACAGAGCACGAAAGCGTTTTCTTACAGGTCGTGTCTTAATTTTATAAGCAGCATAACCAACCACATCCTTCTTTTCTTCTGTTTTTTTCTCTCTCTTTTTTTTTACCCTGTCTCAAGGTACACTCTGTGCCCACTTATATAGGCAAGTGAAGGTGGAAAAAGTGTAAAGATTTGAATCCTCAGCTGTTTCCAGTCAGTAGTTGAAATAGGGTGGGGAGCAATTCCTCTCTGAAGTCAGAGGGCTCAGCCTGGCCTTCTCCTGGTGGGATGCAGATGAAAGCTTTTGTCACCTTGTGGTAGCTACCTCCAAATTTCCAAACATTCCTGGACCTGGGTAGGAGCTGGAGAGTGGAAAGTTGTAGGGGAGGTTGTAATAAAACTAGGGTTTCTTCCCCCAGTTTCTGCTCCATTTGCATACTGGAGATCAGTAAGGAGTGAGGCACTCTGAGGCTTCTGAGAGGTTCAGCTACTTCCAACACAGCTGCTGAACTATTTAAGGGAGATGTGCCAGTTTTAGTCAGCTCAGGTGTGTGATTCATAACTGCAAGCTGGCAAGCACATGTTTATCTGTGAGAGGGCTGAGGTGCATGGAGCAGCAAACGTGAGAGCAAACTCACTCACTCACTCACTCACTCACTCACTCACTCACTCACTCACTCACTCACTCACTCACTCACTCACGTGTGAGTCACACAGCAGCCAAACCACACTTCCCTTGGGATGAGCTTCCAAGGAAACTTCTAGAACCTCTCTGGCTGAAGTGTGAAACTCACTCCCTAGTGCTGACAGCCCCTCTCCTGACTTGTGGACATGCTGTAACCCTCTGCAGAAAAATACAGGAGGAACCCCAGCTCTAAATGACAGTTTTCAAATTGCAACCTGGCTTTGGAGGTAATTTCATCTTTCTGGAGAAAAAGTAACACCAGCATTCATACCACAGGAGCAGGGGAAGAAAAAAACCTGCAATTTTCTCCCTGTCTCACTTAAAAATGGGATTTGAAAAAAAATAAAAGCAGAACCCCAAACAAAGTTTAGGTAAACTTTTTCAGAAAATTGTATGGCAGAAGAAATGAAGGCAATATGATTCATAGCATTTGGGAAACACTTTCTGGAATTGGGTGGTTTCAAGGGCTTTGCAACTTCTGTGTTCTCAGAACTGCGGTCTACCTCCAACAGCAACAGACTGAAATAAATCTGGGGTCAGAGAAAGAAACCTGAGTGCAACTAAATATTAGCAGAAACCAAACATCCTACAATTCCAAGTGACTTTTGAACAAATTATTCTGTGCCATGTTGCAGATGAAATGGGGTTGCTTCTTTAATCTTCTCACCACAGGCACCCTCCAGATTCAGCTTTAAAATGAATTTTAATACTTTGTGCTGCATTCACTCCCTGCACTATCTTCATTCTTTGTGGCTCTGTGAACTTCCCGTTTAGTATCACTTGGTACATCGGACCTAGACAAAAAAAAGCTGCATTTCTGCACACATCAACTGCATGTTTGCTAAGCTGGCAATTTTTTTGGGATACATGTGGGTTCACAGGTGAGCAGGTCATTTGTTGGCGTGCACATAAATCATCTTTTTGCAGGTTGGCCTTTTTGGCTTAAATGAGGACAACTTCCATCTAGAGCATATTTAATGAGGGCAGGTTCTGAATGACTCAGTCCCAGGCTGGCAAATAAATGACTGGCTGAGAAATGAGGGCTTGTTTCCCCCTGTCCTTGGTGACTGCTTTTGAAGTTTCCCAGGTGCTATACATGAATATGCTCAGCAGGAATTATTTCAATGAGTCCTTTGTGCTCCAGTGCCTTTATCACCCAGCACTGCTGCTTGATAAATGCTGTATTTTTGGGGATCCAGGTGGCTGCGTGGCTCTGAAGTTTTCAATGGGAAGGAGAAGGCCTTCAGATTTTTTTTTATTAACCACTCAAATGCTCTGAGAGTATACTTTTTGTGCTATCTAGAGACAGGAATCTCAACAACTTTATCTGTTGCCCTGTATTGTGTTCCAGTTAGCAAATGAATAGTGGCTGCAGGAACCATAATCCAACCAAAAGGAAGTGTATGACCAGAAATTTCATTATGTTTATGGCAAAGATGAGTAGGGTTTTTTGGCTGGTTGGTTGGTTGGAGGGATATTTTTTTAAAGTTTGCTGAACTTTCCCTATTTTTTATCCTCTTGGTGTCATAAGTGCTGCTCTTGCTAAGTCAGGCACCAGCATTTGCAGTTTTCAAGGAATCAGAATCTCTTTCAGAGGAAACACGTTCATACAGTGCAAAACCACATTCATTTGCATTACACCAACATGAATTCTTCTGCTCTTTTTAAGTGGAAAACGTATCATAGCACCTTTGAGCTCCAGCTTTCACAAATGTCTAAATGTCTAAATTATGTATTTGCTTGTACTTAATGCCCAGAATAGAATGAGTTGGGTCTCAGATCTAGAATTAGGATGCTCAAATGCAACTTAATCAAAATTCAAAGGAAAGGTCTAATGTGTTCGTGGGCCATTCTGCATGAACGTGTGGTTTGTTCTCCCAGACAGCTGTAAAATATCATTTCAGATAACATGACTTAAACATCCAGAGTAAAATGAGTCAGGAAAAGACATTGCTCAGCAGACAATGGAGGTGAGTAACAAATTGTCCTGGTCATGAAGAGTGCTGCATGCATTGGGGAATTAGAAAACTGATGAACTTAGACACCTGAGGTTTCTTTTGTGCTGTGCTGTGAGTGGTTTCTGATATTTTGGTGTGTTTTTAAAGGTTTCAAAGATTGGATAGCCATAGTGAGTTAAGCCAACAAGTCTTGTTCTGAGCAGGCTATCAAAGCTTGCAAACCCTAAAGGGATTTGAGGCCTTTTTTCAAGAGGGGCGATCCTGGAGAACTCTTCTAACTCCAGCTGAGCAGAAGAAAAAGCCTGGAGAGGAAAATGCCAAGAGCTCGTGGTGCTCTCACCTACCTGAAGATATACTGTGATGCTCTTTCTGTAAAAAGAACAAGTAAAAGAACAAGCTTAATTTTCATTGGTGGCTTAAAAATTGTTGTTTGCACTTGGGTTTGAATACAGTGTTTTGTTTATGTGGAAACCTTCCACTTCAGACCAGTGTTCTTTGGGTTGCTTAGTACCCTCTTCCTCATTTTCACAAGCAGTCAAAGCCTAACAAACAGTGAGCTATCTTAACTGTGTAGCTGGGAGATTTGAATAGCTCTAGGGCTGTGTTTTTTCTCATGGAGCCAGTTTTTTGGGTTAAGGGAACTGCAAAACTTGCAACAAGAAAACCTGGGAACCGCTGTATTTTATAGGGAATGGCCACACCCAGCCTCTTCAAGATGAGGCAGACTTAAAGGCAGCCTAGATGCAGGAAAAAGTACAGTTTTTTTGGAGCTGGCCAGCTATGAGAGTAGGTTTATTTCTACATTTGAGAAGTTTTACAAAGGCATGTCAGGGTTGTGTGATGAGAGGAAAGGAACTGGGCAGTCTGGTGAGCAGCCAGTCTCACACTAATGTGGTTGAGTGAGCAAAATCATGGGAGTAGCACTTTGAAGTCTAGAATATCTTCAGCTATGTCTGACTCAAAAGTTCACCATCAGAACACCAAGCATGCATGGTGCCATCCCCTCAGTAACTTCAGCTACCCACAGTCCACAGCTGATGATCTGATTTTCCACAGTTCAGTTTGGTCCTCCAGAGGAAAAGTGCCAGCCAGGCATGGCCAGTGCCAGCCAGGTGCCAGTGGGGACATGTCCTTCATGTCCACTGCTCCTCTAGCAGAGACAGAGCAGCCTGTGTGTGCCAAAGCAATTCTGGCTGGGGGGCTTTGCAATAGGCCAGGAGTCTTTCTTGGGTATTTGTAGCAAGGAGCAGGCAGTCAAGCTGCAAGTTCAGCTTTAGTGAAACTGTGTAAGAATAGACACAGAGCTTCCTGCACCCTTGAGCTTTGCAGTGTGCCCCCGAGGCTCACCAGCACAGCCACCTGTGCCACCTGGCAGGCCAGGGGGCTCTGTGGGTGCTCACAGGGCTGGGGCTGCTGAAGATGCGCTGCTCACTGAGCCGTGGCACTGCCGGGGCAACGGGAGGCGTGCACAGACCCAAGGCTTGGAGTGAAACCGCCAGCTAATTTCACAATCACCCAGCAGAAGGAACTAATGGTCAGGGGTGGTATGGATACAAACCCAGCAGAAGCCCACAGGCTCCCAGCAGGCCTCCTGAGCACCCTGTGGGAGCAGTGAAATAGGACACTTATCTGCTCTGCTCACCACTCCAGTGCCAGTGTGGGGTTATTTCACACTATTATTTTTCCTGACGCAGGCAGTGATCAGATCAGAGTCATGTAATGCTCACCCATCTTCACCATAAAAACTCTGATAAGTGATGTTATCTAGATTTTTTGCCATAGAAAATATTTTCTTCTCAGCCTTTGCAGTGGACTAGGTAATGAAAAACAAAATGAAAATGATTTCTTTCGCATTTTCGTTCCACCCTGTGTCACCCGAGCACTGACCATCAGCACAAGTGGCCAGGCAGCACTGCAGGCTGGCACAGAGGGGTGCCAGTGCAGGAAAGGAGCAGCAGCTGCAGGGCACACTTGTGCCTTGCACAGTCATCCCTGTACTTCCCACAGACAGTCTGGCACCAGGGGTGGGAGCTGCCTCCTCTGCAGGGTTGATGCACTTTTGATGCTACAACCTTCTGATAGACTCAGTTCTGCTGAATGACTGGTTTTGAAAAGGAGTGTGGAAAGTACATTTTTTCAATTTCCTTCAGCTTTTCCTCATCCACCCCTCCTCAGTGTAGGGACTGGCTTTTCTGGAAAGAAAGTTTTACTCACTCAAGCCTATAATTGCAATTGATAAGCATCAAATGAAGATCATGGATTGGCTTAAAAGGAACATTTTCCAGACCTGAGATGTGCCCTGTTGCATTAATGCATGTTGTCTTTGCACTTGGGGCCTTTCCCATTTTAGCTCATGTGCTGCCAAGCACATTTAGTTCTTTTAGTTCTCAAAGCAGGTCTCAAAGGACTGCAG